GGGCATATAACCCTTAATTAATTAATATTTATGCTCTAAAATTTATATACAGATTGTTAGATGAGATGGAAAGAAATCGTCACGAAATAGGACACAATTTCACGAATTAAAATAATTAAATAAGGATAAGAGAATGAATTGGAACAATACAGTTCATCGAATCAATCGAAGCATCTCGTCTGTCAGTTCTAATTGATGCTGTATTCTCGGTGAACTTTCACCCCTGTTACTATTTTCCCTGTAGAGATTATGAAGATGAGACCTACTTCGTGAGGTTTTCTTAGTAATTTTTCAATTCGATCTTTACTTATTGCATAAATATTAATAATACAACGACAATATCGGTTCCATAATGTGTTAAGGAATGATCACTGTCAGTGTACATCAATTAAGTTTGTCCAAATAATATTTTTGATGAATTGAAAAAATCAAATTATTGACCTCGACTGTAAGAATTCTCCTTTGTGATGTGATAACTACGGACACAGAATATCGAGTACACAAGACAGTACACTCCAAATTGTTCTTTCTTAACCTTGTCTTTTCCAATGAGAGGTCATCTTTCAGAGATGAAGGATAAACTTGCTTCAGGTTCTTCTAAAATCTTCATTGAAATAACTCTGTTAGTAATCAGAAATAATAAAATGCTGTGTAGAAAGATTCAATTGTGTTGGATTAAAAGGGTAGATTGATGGAATGGATGATACTTTGTGCCAAAGTTTTTAAATTATCATTAACAATGAGGATGAATCTTCCTTTCTGAGACATCCTTCACCAATTTTCAATTTGAATTCCTAAATGATTTTAAGAGAAGACGGAAGTGATTAGTAGCACGTGTTTGTGCCCTTGATGGGAATAATCTGCATATTGCTGCCATCGATATAGGCTACATCAAGGGCAACAATCTCATTAAGTTTTACTGAGCAAATATTAAAATTGTTGCACTTATTTATATGTAAAAAGATTTTTCAGTTATACTTGCAAGAAACTTTGAAATGTTTTGATTTATGGGCGGATGGCTATAAGTTACAATATACAAAGGGTTCTTCTTCATGAAAGCCTTAAGATGTAGTCTTATAGCGTAGGACCCTACTCAGTAATCTGCTTAAAAGTGTTCGGTAGGGCATAAACACATTTTTATTCATCGTAAGCTTCTGGAAATTAATTTATCACAGAGTTTTTTCAGGTGGAGTGAAGTTCAACAACGTCGTAATCATCACAAACAATTTTTTCTTTTTTTTTTCTCAGCAATTGATAGTGAAGATGTTGAGTATCACGTCAAAGATGAATATCACAAGATGGATTATCATAATCCCATTTTAGTTTTTTTTTTCCTAAAAAAAAAATAATCTGTTTATCAGGAAAGCAAAAGATAAGCTTAAAAGTAAAGTCTGGAATAAGATAATCCTCTTTTTCTGGTTAGAAATTTGGGTTTAGAATTATTCATGGCATGCGTGTCTCTTGTATTTTACTTCTTATCGTATAATAATTTCTTTCAACATTTAGTTTGACAAATTCCCTTCTTCGCTTTATTTCGCATTTAACAAAGCAATAAATCAGCGAACGGACAGTTAAACTCCTGCGAAGATAGCATTATCGAGCAGCAAAAGGGAGATAAGGTAAGCATTCATAAGAATGTCAACTCTCTCTCACTTCGCTCGCCTTCAAAGTAATTGATGCAAGAATAAACTTAAAAAGTGAAAAGTCTTTCACGTTCGTGACGAGACGTTACGTCAAAGAAGTCATTTGAGGTTTCGTACTTCGTTTTCACCGCTAATTTACATAATTTTAAGTGATATTCTTTAGAAATATTGCTCAAAATCGCGTGAAATTTTTTTTTATCAACTTATAATACTTTTTACTACATCTAAATCTGTGTAGAGGCAGGACTAGACTTACAGTCTAGGTGGTAAAATATAATAAACTCTTCCCTTTGGCAAAATAATGTAAAAATGTGAGGCCCCAATCTATAGACTCGACGCGAGGCCCTAAGCTGTAGGTTGGTTAGCTTATGTTCAAATCCGGTTGTGCCCAGGACTGTGGAAAACGACTATGATTTTTGGAACTAGGGCCTCCTATGCCCTTCTAATTCTTCTGACATAATGCACTCTGTTTATGTTTCTCTCTCTCTTTCTCTATGCAATTTAAATTATATGAATTGATTTTCTATCTATACTTAACTTTGGTCGGGCCTCTTCCAGTCTTGGCCTCAGATCTACGGCAGCGGCGTTAGCCCTGTCAGTGTCTAACTACCTATACAGATTATCGACGAGATTATCTACAAGCTACAAAAATTAATTTTTTAAAAAAAGTTTATCTTAACGTCAATTGGTTAATGAAAATTCAAAATTTACTATTCAACCAATCGCCTTTAATAATTTTCGTGTAAACATTTAAGCTTATTATCTTACATATTTCTCAAAGAACTATCAATTTTCACAGGAACTATTTTGCATAATTCTTGTTTGTTATACTTAATCACAGTAAATTCCCGTATAAACGTATTATTTTAGCTAAGTCTAGCGCCGATGTCCTTAAGACGTTGTAGGGTTGACTTTTTGGATCGGGTTGGCAGCTTGCCAACAGTACTACGAAATATCCATTTTAACCCCATCCTAAGCATATTCAATATATTTTACTATTGACAGAAGCATGTACAACGATCTAAAAGTACAGCAGTATACGTATAGACATTTTTTTTTATTTCTATGGTCAAACACCATTCACTAAACTATCACTCTGTGTATATCTTTAAGTTGAATATGTGTTTGGTTTTAAAAGAGGGTGGACGATTTTTATGTGAGGGTTGCAAACACCAGATCCTTCCATCATTTGTCCAAATCAAGAGGTTGTGAGATTATCGATCGCGTTTATTAAGATATATTTTCTGTAAATCTTTGAAGTGTTGCTATTGATTTTGGACGGAGAAAGGTGTTCTATATTTTATTGTCCTCACCTCTATATTAAAAGAGGGATGCTTTTTACTATTTATGTCTACATTTATGTATATATGAGGTACATAAATCGTGACTCAAAAGTTTGCTATAAAGTATTTACGTGCGGTACCATTAAAATTTCGTTGAAATATCTTTTAAGAGGGGGGAAGAAATAGAAAATTTGACATCGAATAACGTTTTTTATGGCATATACATATATATATATATACTTTTTAACAACATGTATTACACAATTCTAGGTTTAATATATCTGCAATACAAGATTTACATATTTTCTATAGGGGCACAAAAGTTAGTTAACCGTTGTAAACATTAGGTTGCTCTTTTATTAATTAAAACTTTTGCATAATTGCATAATTGCTTGAAACCAACATAGTTAACGAACTTATGGGCCATACTCTCTCTCTCTCTGTATATATATATAGGCCTATATATATGAATTTTTTATATATACTCACACTTATCACATTTCTTTTGTCTTTTTTGGACCTTACAATGATTCTATTTTGTTTGAGATCACATTAATTAGAAGGAAGTGTCAAATATTTTTGACAATTCACATATTAATCATTTCTATTTATTTGCTCATGTTTTTGTTAAAACTATTAAATTTTTAATGTTTGAATTTTAAAAACTTTTTATAAGTTTTCAAACTTTACCATATGAATTTTTTATATATACTAACACTTATCACATTTCTTTTGTCTTTTTTGGACCTTACAATGATTCTATTTGTTTGAGATCACATTAATTAGAAGGAAGATTATTATATCTTTCTTCTACAGACTTATTGTATTATGATACACCTATTATCTTTACATTTATTATCTTACCTATTCTTCTAAATATCAAATTATTTCTTATTTAGCATCAAATTACTATGTCTGAAATGAATATCACTATTTTTGATGTAAATGTAANCTTTAAAAGCGTTTAAATTTATATATATAAATACATATAAACCGATTTTACATAAATATGAAGAAGATATAATTTAGTACCGTTTTTATGTGTTGGAATTTAAGTAGTTTCCATTAATTTTATTGTTCTACATTGAAATTTTGGCCTATTTAATACTTATTATCTGGTTTTTTAGTATTTAAAACATCTTTATGAATCTCATTTTTTTGGTTTCTTTCTGGATTTTTTCGATATTATCTCTTAAAATTACATCGTAAAATTGAAAAAAATGATATTAATTACAATTGGTTCTTGCTTAATTAGCTGTATTATCATAGTATTGTTAAAGCCTTATCGTTAAATTTTATATTATTTTTCATTATTCTAGTTGTATTGTTAGGACTGACATTACCCAATTTTTACGTGTTGCTAAATTTTTGTTATTAACATTGCTGGACTCGCGTTATTACTTTCCCTTATTTATACAGTCGAACCTCCAATAACGGCCATTTTTTTAATGGAAGTTTATTATTATTTTTTTTAACAGAAATGCTTACAAAATAATCTCCAACAACGGCCATTTTTATGTACAGTACTCGTCAGTGGCCGTCCTTCACAGGTTGTTTTACAGCTGTACTTTTACAGTGCTGTTGTGGTAGCTAGCATTGTTAAACCTGCCCGATTTATTGTGTAAATTATTATGATTCCATTAAAATAAAATTTTAAATTTCAATATTTTATGATGCCATACATGTTATCGTGTTTCTAAAATAATATTTTATTGTTTTTATTAAATACCGTTATATCCTATTGTTAAGTTTACTTTCTAGTATTACGCAAACACTACAGTTACTACATTCCATTGTGTAAGATAGATGCGTAAGAGATAAAATAAGAGATTCTTAACGAATTGTATTAATTACAAAAGATAAATTCGCGATAACAAAATCAAAAATTCATTATTAACACTTAAAAGAAAAAAATCCATTAATTGATTCGCAGCATCCACGAAAATTGCTAATTACAATCAAAGTTGATGGCAGTTAATCCACACACAACCAAACAATAGCCTCCAACAATAGTTTCTGCTTCGGTTAACAGATGTCGCTGCTAGTTTATAAGACAAGGCACGGTCGGTAGAGGCGCTAGATGGCAAAGCAGGCTGGAAGTGTAATGTCGGAAGCGGCGGTAGGAGCGAGCGACTTTCTCGCCTCACCATCAACGAACCGAAAAAAAGAAAACAAATAAAAATACGGCGAAAAAAGTGTAAATCGTGAAATATGTATCCGATGCCAGGATTCGCTCCAATGGGACCGCGTGACGTGGCAGGCTCCGCCTCACGCGATAGTGGCTTTGTGTAGTGCCACGGCAACGTCGTTAGACCATAGTTTTGTGTGGATAACGCTCCTTCCCACTCAGGACCTTATGTCTCCCAACTCGGGCCGGTTTGAGATTACGGAACGTCCAACCCTCGTTCCAGTTAGTAGCATAGAAGTTCGTGCCGAGATTATAAAATGTAAGTATTCTTCTTAAACAAGTATATTACACACTACACCGTGTGTTCGCGCTGTGTGTGTGTGTGTTTTTTTTTTTCTCTCCTGTTAACAGTAACTTCACGTTTGAATCACCATAGTCGATATTCCTTAATGCTGCTGCTGCTGCTCTGCTGCTGTTTACATATCGATGTTTGGCGTTTGGCCTCGATGACCTTGAGGCGACTCGACTGTATTCTTATTTTAGAAATGTCTAATTTTTGAACCAGTGTCAACAGGGGAAAAAATACGTCGACATTTTAATACGAATTTCCGAATTTTCACAGCGTATTAACCTGCATCCTGAGCGGATTTTCACATAGAAATTATAAGAAAACCCCTCCCGTTCTTGTGTTGTAATTGCACCCACTTTATTGCTTCGCGTGTGTGACTCACTTGTCATTTTTGTTTCTTATCGTCTGTACTTCGTTCGTATTGGTCGTTGCTATTCGTTATTATTGTTGATGTAGTTGATAAACTGATACTTTGATACCATTCTTCTATAAAAGTTGTACGGGAGATATCAATGTTAGCATAGATTAAGCAGTTGTGAAGTCTCACCCCCGTTAAACACACCTTTAAAATCATCTTTTTTTGTGACGATTGCCTTCTATTGAGTCGTCATTACTAGTTTGAGTCATTAACAATGCGATCATTGTCGAATTAATAGAATTTTTGGGAATTATCCATTAAGGGAGGAACTGTGGATCACTTCTGAGAAGGAAATTTGTTAGTTAGGGTGAGTAATTAAGTAATTTTAAAGAGGGCAGACAGTTTTCTGTTGTGTTCTCTGTAGTTCTTAAGTGGCTCATTCTTGAATTTGAACAATTATGAGCCCAAAGTGGCACACAGGGTAGACAATTTTCTGCTGTATAACTCTACAATTCTTGGTAATTGACTCATCTGAAATGCGTTCAGTTTTTTGTTTAACTGGATTGAGAATTAACTAATTATATCATTAAAAATTCGGTGTTTAAAAAAGGGTAACCAAAATATTGAGTTCTTCAGCATTCACTTGGCTGTATATCAAATCCATTGTTCATTTTGTAACCATTTTGGCAATGAGGTTGTTAACTTCTTATCTTCTACATGATCCAGACAGTTAATATCCCATTTTTTTAAACAATTGTAAACAGGGCACACGTAACTTCTCAATTATTTTTCTATGTTAGACCTGGCGGAAGGTCAATTACCCATTAATTTTCCGAACTTTTCGTCGAAAACGGGCGAAGAAAATGCAGTTAATTTTCTTCTTAACCGGAATTTAATTGGACAAAACTGGATAGGTTACGTGTGTAAAGTTCTCTTGTTAACTGGATAGCCGACCTAATTTCTTGCATATTTATATTGTTTCGTCATAGATCTAACTGTTCTTTTAATTCTTTCAAAATTCGTAATGAGGGTGTAATGCTCTATCATTGACGACGAAACGCAGGACTGGGTTTGGTGCACACAAGGTCACATTGAATAGGAAAAGAGGAAGAGGGGGGTTGAACGGGAGTGAGAAGCTAGTCTTACACTACCAGATGTTCTCGGGCATAGTTCACATTCTCGTTCGAGTGCGTGGGCGTTTCCAGAATTGACGAGGTTCACAAATTACATTTAGGGCAGCGGATGCTATAAGCTGTTCCCTTAATTAAATTAACATTAACATTCGCGTGACACTCGCTAATTCGGTTAATGTCGCCATGTCTAGCGTTCACTTTCACTATAAAACTCCAGTCTTTACTTTCCAAAGAATGAATTCTAGATTTTATAACCTTTTTATATATATATATATATATACTAAGGAATGATATGCCAGATCGAATATACGAATGTCTGTCGATCACGTTGAACTAAAGTCCAGACAGACACTTAGACGAACGTTAAACCCAGTTTTGATACGAGTCTTTGTTTCCTTGACCTTTATTTAACGTTCTCAAATCGATCTGGAATGTTTCGTTTTTAAGATTTTGGCGATTGATGTCTACATTCACAAATCTGTAATTGTATATTGTAAACATTTGATATTTTTCTACACAGGAATGCATTTTTAAATAGGATTTTCCTTAAATTTCCACAAAATTTCTTCATACCGTAGGATATAAATTCTAGAAGAAGTAAAGAGTGAGAAATTCCACATTCTTTAATGGAATGTCGAAATATTTCGGGGAATTTCCATGTTTCGAAGTCCAATCACTGAAAAAATTTCAAAAAATCGGTTTAAATTACCTAAATATAGGGAAACGACGGATTTTTTTCCGCTTAATTCGTATGTTTTTCAGGGGATACAACTTCTAGTTGCTAAATAAGCGATTTATTCTATCATTCCGCTGAAATTACTCACTTTATACTGATTTAAACGCATAAAATACAAAGCAAATCGAATGTTTTTGAGTTATTGTAGACTATGGAGTACATTTATAGTGAAAATTTGTATTAATTTAGTCTAATTTTAGCATTAAAATATAGAAAAAAATCATTCCAGATAAGTTTAAAATGAAATTCGAACTCGGACCCTCTCCTCTGACTTAAATCAGATGTTATCGATTACATTCGAACGTTCTATAACTAGTTTCTCGAACTTGGAATCGATTGGCTTGATGGAAAAGTATTATATTCATGGAAAAAAAATCGATTTCAAATGATTGATCAACGATTTTATTGCCATCGATTGTTTCGTGGGCAACGTTAATATTTCTGCCACAATCGAAAAAAAAAAAAAAAAATGGCGTAAAGTAGAGAAAAGATTCTGGTTTAGAACATTCTGTATCGATTTTCGGAACGATCCGTAAACGGAAGCGGAAGTTATTGTAATTTCAAAAGTTTAAAAAACGTCATAAACCCGGGGGATTTCACTCTGATCATGCATTGTTATTCCATGTTCGAACGAACGTAAAAGGCGGCGATGCATGTCATGGACAGAAACGTGGTGGTGTATCACATCAGGTTTATTTATGAATGACATGTGAATAGCGAATTAACTCGCCATTAGACACGTGTGGTTTTTGGCTTAACACGTAGGCAAGTGTTTGTTATAATTCTGCCAGGATTCAGTTCGATTTTGCTTCTTTTAGTTTCATCTATTAAAGGTTATCTTGAAGAGAAAATAAAGGGAAAACAAGTCGAAATATTTGAAGCAAAACAGAATTTTTGATGCAAAGCAAAGTCGTATTAAAGAAGTAATGGTTCTAGAAAGAACACGAAGAGGAATAGTAGTTAAGATACAATAAGTACAAAAAATGATGGTAACAACATGAGTAGACCAGTAGCAGAATGANTATCTAACACAATGTTTCAGCGTTTAAAAACGAGATAATTTATTGAAAAGTTCATAAATGATATAATTATTTTTATTTCTACGCTGTTATGACTATTATCTAATGTAATTTACTCATAATGTTTACTTAAACGAAATTAATTCGAGATAAAAATAGAGCAGTGAGATAATTCAAATTTTATCTTTTATTATAATGTTAACATGTTACAAAGTCGATTCAGCTTTTTTATTTATTTATTATTATTATTTTTTTTCTAAGTATAAACAAAAATTTTAAATTAAATTTACAGTAATGAAAAATCATTCTAATAAACATTAGAAGTTCTCTGCACATTTAAAAAGAATTAAAACTGAAAATATTCTAAAAAACTACAACGAAGATTGGTTAAAAAACTAGAATGGGCGGAGAGTAACTCCGCCCATTCTAGTTTTTTAACCAATCTTCGCTGTAGTTTTTTAGAATATTTTCGATTTTAATTTTAAAATATCTGCAGAGACCCACCTATGTTTCAGAAGCAGTTTTTTTAAAAGTAATCTTCTATTTAACAGCATTTGAAAGTTATCGCAGCTAATCAAAGGATATATTTTCTAGAATTTCGATAAATTTGAACTCTACCTAACATTGAAATCTACATAAAACATTGAAAATATAGAAATAAAATTGAAAGCGTCATCCAAAATTTATGACTTGTTGCTATGAAATTTGACAGTTCTTCATGCTGATGATGATCATGTTTTAATGTAAATATATGGCGGCCCAAAAGACAGTTAACCACGTTATTTTTTTTCAATGTTTTAAACGCACTTGTCAATCACAAACTGAATTTGTTAAATCATTCTAAGCAATATAGCATTTGAAAAAGACAGAAAAATTAATCTATACGGTGGTTAACTAACATTTAGACCACTCTGTATAAATTTATCACGACAATTTCAGTAAGAAACATTAAAAAAATCTTTTATTTAACATCAACTTCATTTATATTCAGTAACACAACATACAAAAAAATCACATTTATCTCAATAATAGGGAGAAAAATTACAGTAAACATTGTTATATAAAATNAAACAAGTCGAAATATTTGAAGCAAAACAGAATTTTTGATGCAAAGCAAAGTCGTATTAAAGAAGTAATGGTTCTAGAAAGAACACGAAGAGGAATAGTAGTTAAGATACAATAAGTACAAAAAATGATGGTAACAACATGAGTAGACCAGTAGCAGAATGAGGAGGAACATTGGTTCTGAAAGCAGTGTGACAGGAACAATGGTTCCAGAGGCAGTGTGAGCAGAAAATGGTTCTAGAAATAGTGGGAGCAAGAGGAAAGTAGTAGCAGTGATTCTGGATAAGCGAAGTAGGAGCATTGATTGTAGAAGAGCGAAGTAGGAGCAACGATTCTAGAAGAGCGAATTAGGAGCAACGATTCTAGAAGAGGAAAGTAGGAGTAGTGATTCTAGAAGNAAACAAGTCGAAATATTTGAAGCAAAACAGAATTTTTGATGCAAAGCAAAGTCGTATTAAAGAAGTAATGGTTCTAGAAAGAACACGAAGAGGAATAGTAGTTAAGATACAATAAGTACAAAAAATGATGGTAACAACATGAGTAGACCAGTAGCAGAATAAGGAGGAACATTGGTTCTGAAAGCAGTGTGACAGGAACAATGGTTGCAGAGGCAGTGTGAGTAGAAAATGGTTCTAGAAATAGTGGGAGCAAGAGCAACG